GGTTACCTCACTCAGGATAGTGTTTTCTATTTCCATCCATTTGCATGCAAAATTTGAGAAGTCATTGTTTTTTACCACTGAGTAGTATTCTAATGTGTATATATTCCACACTTTCTTCATCCATTCTTCCATTGAAGGACATCTAGGTTGTTTCCAGGTTCTGGCTATTACAAATAATGCTGCTATGAACATAGTTGAACAAATGCCCCTGTCATATGATCGGGCATTTCTTGGATATATTCCCAAGAGTGGCATTGCTGGGTCCAGGGGTAGGTTGATCCCGAATTTCCTCAACAGAAGAAGTTCAAATGGCTAAAAGACACTTAAGGTTATGCTCAACCTCCTTAGCGATCAGGGAAATGCAAATCAAAACAACTTTGAGATATCATCTTACACCTGTCAGAATGTCTAAAATCAAAAACACCAATGATAGCCTTTGCTGGAGAGGTTGTGGAGAAAGGGGTACCCTCATTCATTGCTGGTGGGAATGCAAACTTGTGCACCCACTTCTGTATTTTATGCCAGGATATAAGTCATAGAAATGAGCATTTTAGAATATCTTGCCCTTTTGGCCATTGTCATGGTTCCTTTGAGTTACAGTTGGGCATAAATTCATAGTCCATTTTTAAACTGAGTCTTTTGTTCTGAGTCTTGATCCTTTGTTTTTTGAGTTCTTTCTATATTCTGTATATTAATCTTCTATCAGATGTATAGCTGGGAAGGATATTTTGATCAGTGTCTGTCTATGATCTCTTTTATGGATTTTTTTCTCAGTGTACCATAATTACAGTATATTTCTTTTATGTGCTGGTTCTGTTTTAAATTTTTTAAAATATTATTTGCTTAAATATTTAGTTACTCTACATTATCTTTAATCACAGGTGCTCTATCTTCTCCTTGATCCCCCTACTAGTAAGCTTTCTGCCTGTTTTCTTCTCCACCTACTGATTTTTCCAATTCTATCTTCATCTCTAGTTCCCTTCAATAGTTCTATCTCTTGACTGAAGTCAGTGTTCATACACTTAATTGTCTTTGTCCTTTTATTTAGTTATGTATTTTTCTTTTTTGTACATCCCCTGGTCATGTATTTCTATCACCTGTAGACAGCGTCACTGAACATCGTGACTTTAATACCTTCCATCCTTTGGTGCTTTCAAGTTCCTAATTCAAGTAGCACATATCCCTTATTGATCAGATAGAAGTATCTGCACCACTTCACATTTTTCACGGTGTGTGTGTGTGTGTGTGTGTGTGTGTGTGTGTGTGAAAAGGCTAAATCTCAACCACTTCTCTACCTCATTCTTCCCACAACCTAGACCAAACAAAAAGAAGCTGACGGTATTTGCCTCTAAGCCTCCCCCATCACAAGAAGATGCCATTGCTACACCTCCAGTGTCACTCACAAAAACTATAAAATTACATAAGCAAGATGCATACTTTTTTTAACATATAGAATGCTACTTTCCATTCTGTCTCCATTTGTTCAATCGGTTTCTTTTTTAAAGCCTAGGGTTCTTTCTTCCTCACATGCTAGGGCCAAAGTGGAAGCATTTACACATGTGCCCTGAGGTGTACCACTGAAGGACATCAGGAGCTGCTGGCATGTTACACACACTTCTCCCTGTCTTCAATTCACCATGGTCGCCCGCCATCTAGATGATTTTGTTTGGCCTTTCACTGTCTGCCTGTTTGTAGCCTGAGATCATTTTCAGCCTCAGTACTAAATCTACTCAAACTTCCCATTGACTTCCTATCTTAATCAGAGTGAAAGCCTGATTTTGGAACACTTAACCTTTAGGTGATATGATATGTTCATTTATTTCTGATCTCTTAGATATAGGAAAGGGAGAAGATTGTTTGAAAAACAAAACTTGTTTTAAAAATTCAGAAAAAACCCTCTAAAATTTAATTGCATATCAATGAAAGCCCAGGTGCAATTTATGCTGTATTTCTACATAATCACTCAAGCAGTTATTAGAAACTACTTTTCCAACTTCAGAGAAATTTTTATATGATCAGAACAATTTTTATAAATCCCAGTGTTTGTTTATATTTTTCTTATTTAAGCTCTCAATTTATAAGTTTAAAAAGCTTTCAAGACACAATAATAGTATGATTTATAGGTTTCAGTATTATCTAATTCTTTTACTGAAGTTACTAGGAGATTAAGTTTAAAGAATTTATGTTTAAAGTTTTTTAAGGTACTAGAATTTAAAATTTTTTAAATTTAATAAACTTTGCTTAATTTGACAAAAAATTCAAACTTGATAATGCCACGGATGTTTCTAATAATTTAAAAATTATAAAGCTAATATATGAGAGGGAGAGAGAGAGAGAGAGAGAGAGAGAGAGAGAGAGAGAGAGAGAGAGAGAGAGAGAGAGAGGAAAAATCATCTTAAATCACCCATAACAAGTCTAGACAAATTTCTAGGCCTTGTTTGAAGATTTACATGCTTATCTCACCCATGATGCAGTGTTTTGTGGGTCAATGACTATTTCAATCTTCCTGAACAACTGTAACTTGATTTTTAATACTTGTGGAGTGAAAACACATTATTTATTTTAATATTTTTTCACCCCATGATTTTATTTACTTTATAGTCATTACTAAAGTAATCTTCTTTTTGGTATTTCTATAATGCTTAGAACCAGATGTTTTATATTACTTTTCTTTGATACATATCAAATATACGTGTGTATGCATATATACATATTTCTCTTATGTAATATTCATTTATATGCTATTCTATTTATATACTATATCAGAATATGTTTTCCATTTTTGAACAAAAAATGTAGCCTAGAGATATTTATGAAAATCATCTTTTCCTAGGTTCCCTAATTAATTATCTATGTTTTTCCTTTGTTTTCATGTATTTTAGCAAGCTCCATTGCCAAGATTGGTTCAGATCCTCTAAAATTCGTAAATGATGTTGTGGATGAAACAACTGACTGGATCTACGGCTTTTTTGCTTTGCTGTCTGACATCATCTCATCTGAAGGTGATGAAGAAGATGAGGATGCAGACGAGGACATTGATAAAGGTACCCAAGACACAGAGTTGCATCTAACAGCTATGAGTGGAAATTGGGCATACTTGGCATTGGCTAGGTGAGGACTTAGCCCAAATGAGCACTAGGGAGGCTAAACTAAAATGGACACACTTCTGAGTACAAAAAGCACTCCAATAAGCTGCCAAATAGAGTAAATCGCTCTTCATTTCACTTTAATCTTATAGTTTATCTGCCTTTATGGAACAGATATCAAAATTAAATGTTGCTATTAGAGTGGCATTATAGCTGGGAATCTTAATATAAATGACTATAAAACCACAATAGATTTCCCACTTACAAGTTTATTTGAGACAGAGTAGCTATTTTTCCAGTCCATGTCTAGGAGGATTGAAACAAAAATATTAAAACCAACAATCACATCTTTTGTACTTATAAGTCACAGTAATATTCGAATGATGATAACCAATCTTAATAAAAGCCCAATTAAACCAGAAATTGATCGACTCAAATGGAGATCCAGAATGGAAAGATACATTTTAATTATTATACAAGTAAGCAACACACATACAATAAACAAAGTAAATGGAAGAGCAGGCTGTATATAAGTTGGCATGTAGAGGATTTACAAAGAGGAAGTACATTGATCCAGTCTGTTAAATGACATTCAAAAAAAAAATGGTTACTCTTACTCATCCGAGATTATCCATTCAGTCTTACCCAACAGGAAAATTATTGCTATTATAAACCCTTTTATGACTTTGTCTGAATTTATTTCTGTTTTGGCCCTGTGAGAAGTGACAATAAATAGAGAAAATTGAAATTAATATGATGCATGAGCTATAATGCAGTAACTTGAAGCACTGCCTCAATTTCATTGAACTCATAAAGTGAAGCCATCTTAAGTGAATACATATAAACAAAGCAGGTACTTTGGAATTTAGGTAGCAAAGTATGCAAGAATCATGACTATTGAAAGCAATAGCTTGCAAAAAATGTGTAAATAGAAAAAACATGGGTAAATAGCAAATTCCTGCTACCAGTTATGCTAATTTTCTATTTTTCTTGATTTAGGAGAAATAGAAGAACCTCCCTTAAAAAGAAAAGGTTAGTTTTGTTTATTTTTCCACATTTTCTTTCTTTTTATAGATAATATTGATTTCTAGCATAACATAGATGCTTCTCACTTGTATTGTTACTTAACATGTTTCTTATATGCAGGTTCGCTTAACAGCAAGAGTGTGTAAAGCTCATAGTTAGTAAGAGCTGCTGAACTCCTAGTTAACTCATTCAAATATTTTTGACTTGCGTTTTTAGTGGAGGGCTTTGTCAGGGTGTTTGTCTACCTCTGTCTGTATACAGATCAATGTAGGTTGAGATTTCTTCAATGACAGAGAATTCTGTTGTGGTGAAAATGGTCTAGAAGTAGATAGTGCCCGTATCTACTTTTATTATAATCAGCTTTGCTGAGTTTAAACATTTATGCTCTTTGCTTTTTTTAATTTACTGTCTCAAGGAGTGACAATAGTATATACTAGCCAGCAGAGGATGGAACATATGATCTTGGGGACAAAGTCATATCAGTAAATGTACACATTGGTCATTACCAAGGGAAGAAGTTGCTTGGTTTGTGTGGAAATGATATGTCATTTCCTTGTATGGGAAACTAGGGTTTCTATGATTGAACTTAGTTGGGAGCAAGGACTTTCCCAACCAATTGTAGGAAACATCCCTGGAAATGGTGGTGAAAACCAAGGTTACTGAGGTGAAAACCTCAGTACACTTGGTGTGAGTAAAAACCAGTCACTGCTTGATTCTACTGCAGTTGTTAAGTTGCCAGTGCACATACATAATTGAATACCATTGAGTTATCTAGCCTGTGTAAGTTACTCTCCAAAGACCACCATGGATTCAACAGGGGCATTGAATGTAGTCAATACATCCAGTCCAGACTTAGGTGTGAGTGAGCAGGCAGAGCAGGTGGTCAACACCATACTAGTTGGAGGAAAATCAGAATCTTTGATTTCCACCACTGCAAAAGGAACTGAACCAGTGAGGTTCCAGTGAGGCAAAGCCATCCTGAAACAAATTTGATTTTGAAGCGCTATAAGGAGAAAGGACATTATTCTGACCTCAAAATTTGGAGGAGAATTTCAAAATTCAAGTCAAAATTAAGTTACCAAGTTCAGGCTTTGAAAATCTAGATTGATTTGTAAATTTTGTAAGGACTTAAAAAGGGTCTTTCCATGGCTGCTGATATTTAATAGCTGTTTACTAGGCCATAGTCAGATTTCTGGCTAATGAACTATAAGGAAATGATAAGTAATGCACTTATCTGTTTTAATTGTATGCAGAGAGAGAAAATAAAGTGGAAATTTTTTCCTTACTTATACATTGAATAACCAATTGTATCTTAAAGTCATATTCTACCCCTATATAAAAATATTTACTCTTTAGTAACATTTCTCTCCTTTCTGATTTGACATTCCCATTGTGATTACTTTAAAAAATAACTTTTGAGAAATTATCAGCATATAGGAAAGATTGACAAAGTTGTTTAAAGAGTTTTCCTTCCATCAGTGCCTTGATTTCCCAAATCAACACCAACGATCTACCCAGTAATTTTTAGTCAGGACAATCTAAGGGATTGATATATCCTAATAATTTGAAGTATTCCATATTCAAAAGTAGGAAGATAATTGACTTTAAATTCAGAAGTCATTTTTTTGGTAGCCTAGGATGATAATCTCCTGACATGAACCAATTGATTTCTATCCATCTAATGACTGCATTAACATGATTTCCAACTCATATATTCACTGTTTAGCCATTATTTTACTTAATCCAGAGCATGGTGTATTTTCTTTGATTTCCCTGTGTCTTCCTAAAACATCTTATTTAAATCACTTAAAAGTGTATTTCTATTTGCCCTTATATTTATGTTCTTACCAAAAGAAAAAGAATTCTATCACCTTGTCATTTATGGGTGAATCTTGCAATTCTAATTTGATTCAGATTAATGGTCCAGTCAGCTAATCTGAAGGTTACAGAAATTGATTATTAAGCAGGTCATTAAAATGGATGAAACTTTTGGATGCTATTCCATGACTTGTGTTGCTATGTATAAATATACCTTAGGGCATGTCATATAGCACCTAGTGGCTTTATGTGCTTGATACATATTTATTTTCAAGTGTCCAAATTTAAAATATTTTGCTGTTTTACAAAATACTACATAATGAGCATTCAAGTTACTAATTCATAAGAAAATTATTTTTATTATGTGGTTCTGCAAAAGAATTACCCATGTAAGTCAAATATTACATAAAGTTACATTTTGTATCCCTTGGTTGTCTAGTACCATCTTGCTGAACATCTTATACAGGAGTGTGAACTGTGGCTATGTTCATTCACATCACCTTGCTTTCTAAGAACAGTCAATTGTAGAGAGCTATAAGCGAAATAAGTACCATGCACATGCTTTGTTAAAACTTGTCTGCCTAAAAATATACTAATATTTATAATAGCAGTAGATCAGTTTTGCAAAATAAAGTGTTATCTTTTGGTGTATTTCCAATTTTCAAGAACGTCAACCAAAAAACATTAAAGTTGAGGGCCTCTAGCACTGTGTAATGTGTCTATTAGGTACATGAGAACTTGGTTCTTATATAATTTGATATTCTGGAGTCAGTGACCTAGTAGAGTCATGTGGCAGATGCAATGACTTTTCATTTAGTTTTTTTTCTTTCTTATTTAGCCAAAAACTCTGATTCTTAAAAATGAGTCTTCTAAATTTGAATTTCAAAAATTTTATTTTTCAGTTATTTTCAATATTTATTTTTAGAAAATCATGAAATATATGCACTTTGAAACAACCAAAGCAGGGAAGTTTAGTGACATGACTCATATCCCAGGTAAATGGGAAGTTTTTAAGGACAATCCAACTTTAAAGTAGATATTGAAGAAGGAGGGGAAGGGAGAAAAACAAACCGAAGGTATATATTAAGTAAATCTATGAAGGTCACATTTCTTTAATTTCTATAGATTAGTTCTTAGATTCCTATAGAGCAGTTCAAAATAAAACAAACCTTACCTTATTAAATTTTATTATGAAATACTTTATCTAATTATGAGGAAAACCTCCTTTCAATTCATATAAAGCAACATTGTTCTTGTTGTCATTGGAATAACGACAAAATAATTATACATTATATGTGGGAACAGCATTATGTGTACAGATGAATATGTAACTATACGATTATATATCTTATTTTTATTACTTATGAGTTTATTCCCCTAGTCAAAACTTCTAAAATTATATGTTGTCAGCCAGATAAATAGACTGTATGCAAATTTATCATGGTAATTAACAAAAATATTTAACTATCTGTTTTTCTACTTAGACATGTATAATTATTCCCCAAAGTAAGATCTCAAGGTTTGATATCTTTATATATATTACAGAAATTTATACAATGTATGTATGTATATAAGTATGTATATATGTGTTTGATATTCTTTATTTATATTACAGAAATTTATACAATGTATATATGTATATAAGTATGTATATATGTGTGTGTATTGAGACAGAGTCTCACATTGTAGCCCTGGATGGCTTGAACCTCACAGAAACCTCCCTGCCTCAGCCTCCCAGATGATGAGCGTAAGATATGCACCACTATGCCCATTTGCCAATTTTCAACATCTTACATTTATCTTCATAAATAACTAAAAGTGATCATGACTTACAATATTTATTGTTTTGTCATTTCTCTCAAATTTTAAACTAAAATTTATGAATAAAAATAAAGCTAAATTATATATGTGTGTAATTTTTGCCAAAACAAAAAAAAATTGATCTCAACAACATTTTTCAACACAAAATTAGTTTTGTCTATTAGCTAACATGGGTAATATTTCTAATACATGAGCATCAACTCCAAAAATAAGGCTAAATATAATCAAGAAAGCACATCAAATTACGTAGGAGAACACAAAATAGTGTTAAATTTCACAATACATTTATTTCCATTTCTGTGCTTATTATAAAAGATTCAATTGTGTGAAAGCAGTAGACATAATGATAATTAAATGGAGAGATGGAAAAAGTTGCCCTGTTTTCATTTATTCACAAAATAAGTAATTCTGGAGGCAAAGTCATAAATATTTTTAAAATTATATGGAGTTTTGGTTTATTTCAACATAAATTTAGTTGTTCATGAAGATTTTTAACATTCATATTATTAAAAGTAAAGACACAGGACTAAATTTATTGATAAGTCATATTTCATTCAAGCCCCAAATTACATTTATCTAAAGACTCATGAGCTAATTTAAAAATTTCTCTAAAATAGTTTCATTAATTAGTTCATTTAATTTATTTTTTAAAATTTAGTGTGTACATTTGTGCATGTGTGTGTATGTGTGCATGTATGTATTTATATATGTGTGTGTACATGTGAATGTGTATGCCCTCAGAATCCAGATGAGGGTTTTTTATCTCCTGGAGTTGGAGTAATAAGTGGTTATGGGATGCCTGGCATAGGTAATGGGAACTGAATCAGAACCCTATGTAAACACAGTTAATATTCACTAAGTGCTAAGTAATCTCTCTAGCTGCTTATGGTCTAATTTTAAAGCCCCATTAATCTCAAAAAGAAATGACATTTGATATAATTTCATTTTTGATAGAAAATTGTGAAGACATAACATATTCTTATATCTTGAGGTTAATATAAGATTTATGATAAAATATAAAAAGAAATTTAAAATTTTTGTTATATATAATTTCTTCTAAATCTTATGATAGAATTTTTTTAAATTCCAAAAATAAAATTATACTGACATTAAATTAAACTTTTGTGTGAGTAGAATGAAAAAATTAACTGTGAAAAAATTTCAAAGTGTTAAAAACTGATTCTAAAATACATGTACACATTTAAAAATAATTAACATTTGTAAACTAACAACTAAATTTTAAAGGTAGTACAGTATTTTATTTTATTTCATTTACATTTTAATTTTTGAAAATTTCTGAGACAAGTCCTCATTTAGCTCAGCCTGTCTTTCAACTCACTGTGTATTTGAGGATGACGTCATTGGAT